ATGAATGGATGTCAAATTAATATATGATGTGGCAATTAATATTTAATTGTTTATAAAATTGATTCAATTTTTATAGGTATTTACGCATGCATAATTGTAGCTTTTAAAAGTGTCAATGAAAAAAATATATAAGTGGCATTTTGTAGTAGTGATAGTAGCTTTGCAAAGTGTCGCTAAAATAAGTTCCAATGGCACTTATATCTATTTAATGGCACAAATGAATTGGATTTAGTGGCATTTAGGAAGGTGTTATAAATATCAATTGTGGCATAATAAGCGTCATTAAAAATCCATATCGTGACATTTTTTAGATTGTAAGTCTTTTTTAATGGAACTTGATAGCGCCACAAATAGTGCCTACCATGACATTAAAGTGTCACTGAAAGGTTTTAGTCTTGATGGTGTAATGATACTTACAAGTGTCACTAACTCTTTTTTTAATGGCCCTTGATAGTGCCACAAATAATATCTACCATGACATTAAAATGTCATTGAAAGTTTTCAGCTATGATGGTGCAGTGGCACTTGCAAGTATCTACCGTGGCACTCGTATCTATTATGGCACCGATAGAAGTGGCACTTGTTCAAAATGCCACAAGACCAAAAAATGTCATTAGAGGAATAGTTTTGTGGCACTTTCAAATGTCACTAAACTAAGAAAATATTGTAGTGGGGGAAAAAAAAAAAGATGAGTCCAAAAAGACGTCGTTTTGGACCACCGCAGGAAGCGCCGTAGGCAACCGCGACAGACGATCCGGACTCGTAAAAGTAAGGACAATGCTGCCATTATATGATGTTTACTCTTTTAAAAAATAATTTTTATCTTACAACATTTATTTATTTATTTATTTTTGGCATTAAAATGAAACAATTGTTTTTTAGTATTAAAAAGTGTACATGTATAAATTTCTAGGCTACTCTCATTTAGGTTTATTTTGGTAACATGAAGTTTTTTTAGTATTCATGTTTAAATATCTAATATACTCTCATTTAGGTTTATTTTGATAACATGAAGTTTTTTTAATATTCATGTTTAAATATCTAATATACTCTCATTTAGGTTTATTTTGATAATATGATATTTTAGTTAAAATGTTATTATAAAAAATAATTATTTTCCTTATTTTTTTACACGCCTTTCTATAAAAACTTGAAAGACACTAAAAAGTTAATTCTTAAAACAACCCTTGATTTGAGAATAGGCTATTTTAATAAATTTTTGACTTTTTAATTAAGATATGATGTGAAAAAAAATTAATATATTTAGAATATTTTTTTTCTTGTTACAAAAAAATGTGCAAAAGTAGAGATAAGGAAATTTTTGACTTTTTTTATATAATTATTTGATTTTTTAGATGTTTAAGTAACACTTTCTTTTTTGGGTGACTTTTTAGCTATTATTAAAAAATATGACCAATGTATCTGTATCATCCTTCCCTTATTGATAGAGGTGCACATTTACTCTAATAAATAAATAATAAAATTTTATTTATAAAAAATTGAGAAATAAGATTAAGTTGGAATTAAATATTTTTATGAATAATTTCATACAATAATTATTAATTCATGAAATTTAACTTGTAAAAGAAAATTAGGAAAATTATATCCATGTTGTGTGTAATTTGTTTCTTCGATCAATATGATCTTCGTAACTCTAATTGATAATTTAATCCAATTAATTATATCTTTTTTAAAATTAGATGGATATCAAAAGGTGAAGTAAATTATTTATTAATAGCGATTGACATACGCAATGCATGCATAATTTAAATAAGTAAAATAAAATAAAATATTTACTATATATTGTGTCACTCAAATGGTAAAAGTCTTCTTTAATAGGTTTAATGTTTAGTCTCACTCTCAATTCGTTGATTTAATAATCAACTTTTTTTGATTTTTTAGTTTTTACAAAAACACACGTAAAAAAATAAAGAGAAAATTCAATTTTTTTGTAGTGATTTTTTAAACCTTTTGCCATTTATAAACGTACACTGTTTAATACTTAGAAAAAGAGTGTTTCATTTTTAATGCGAAAAAAAATGTTTTAGGTAAATAATTATTTATTAAAAGAGTAAACACCAGCATTTATTTCTTTTGATTTTACTAGTTAGTCAGGTGAGAAAGAACAACCCTTTTAAAAGTGAGACCCATCTGCTTAGATGACATCATTCGATCGTTTCTTATATCATTCACTAGGAATCTGTAACATTTCTCTTCCCAAACTGCTACTAAATAAATGAGTAAAGACCTCTCCGTAAAATAACCCAACTGACTCTAAATTAAAGAATTTCTGATCTTTTCCTTAACTCGCAAGAAAAAGTACCGATTTTCTTGAAACTCGAGAAAACCAAGTCCTATATATTTCGTGTGTCCCAAGAAAGATACAAAGTTATATATATGCAATGTACTCAAACAAAACCTAGTCAAGAATAAGAGTAATGGGAAGAAGAAGAACCAAACAAGAAAGTAGCCCAATAACAACAACATCAAAAGGGAAGAACACAAGGAATCGGAAAAGCCAAAATCTTCAACTTTAATAGCAGCCATTATATTCCCAGATGAGATAATAATCGAAATACTCACCAGATTGCTTATGGAGTCTCTCTTGTGATTTCAATCTGTTTGTAAATTATGGAAATCCATTATAGACAATTCTTGTTTTGTTACCCGACAATGGGTAGCCTGAATCCTCATTTCTTTCTCAAATTCCGATGGGTCAAAGCACTATTTGTATTCTTCAATCATCAAAGAGGGAAATGCGGTTCCCTTTCTATCGCTCCCCTGTTGCAACAAAGAAAATCATGGTAACACTTGCTAGTGCGATGTATCGGAGTCCATTAATGACTTGGTATGCTTCTACAATGGCAGTGATGTTTATATTTGTAATCCTAGTACAAAGAGTATTAGTACTTTGCCGTCAAGTTGTCAAACTCATCGCTGTTCAAAACTCAATTCTTTCTTAAACATATCCTATTCTAGTTACTCTTCTGGCTTTGATCCTAAAAACAATGAGTACAAAGTTTTTCACATCCTCGGGGTACGTAAGGGAACGAGCAATGTAAAGTAAAGTTACATAATGTACAATGTGAAGTATACACAATAAAAGGCGGTCTAGAGGAGTAACACTAGGCATTCGCATCCTTTGCTTCATGGAGAAAGATTAATCGAGTTCCCCCTCTATCCGTATATTTTCAGAGACAATGGTGTTTGTGTCAATGTTGCTATACATTGGATTGGCGTGAAAGCTCCTTGTCAAGAAATTATGGTGGTGTTTGATCTTGGTAGTGAGAAATTTCACTTGATTTCGCTCCCAAATGGTGTTGTCTCATCCATGTCTAGTTTGACACAAATTGGAGGCTCTCTGGCTTTGATTGGTTACAAAGATGATGATTCTCACACAATAGAGTTGTAGGTATTAGAGGACTATGACAATTTGCTGTGGATCAAAGAGAGTTTTGTTTATTCACAAAATAAGAAGTGGGCGACAAACACTATTCTTGTTGGTAATGCTTATATCGGTTATTTGTTGCTAATTCCAAGTAGCTTGAAGAACCAGTATTTCCTAATTCATCATCATCTGAAGAATAAAGCTTTGACCATAGTGTTGGGGTGACAAGGTATATTTGATAAGAACTTGGGCAAGCTAGGAAATATAGAAGAAGATAAGGTAGAAATGCAAATATAAGAAAACTTCTTCTTATTATGTTGATTACAAGTCAAGATTCTTGCATACATCAATTTGCAATTAGCTCATGGCTTTATATAGAGAACATCACCATCTTAACCTCTTCTAGAAAGGTTCTATGAAGGTTTGATATTTTCCAACGTCATTATTATACATCATTATTATACATTTCTAGATATTTCTGTCATTATTAAAAATCTAGATAGATTATTTCAATCTATCAGATATTTCTAGATAAATATCTTCATAAATTATTCATTAATTATTCTAGATTTATCTAGATTACAAATTATATTTTAACACCCTCACTTAATTTGTAATATTCATGCATTTCTAAAACTATAAGAATTTTTCTGTTGGCATTACTTTTGTCATGATATCTGCTAATTGCTCATTTGTGTTGACAAACTCCAATTGGATTTCACCTTTCTATACATTGTCTTGAATAAAATGATGTCGTAGTTCAATGTGCTTTGTCCTACCATGGAATACTGGATTTTTGCTCATTGCAATGACTGACATGCTATCACAAAAAATTGTAGTGGAACATTCCTCTTTGTGCTCCATATCTGAGAGAATTTTTTTAAGCCAAACTGCTTCACAAGTTGCATCTGTAGCTGCAATATATTTTGTTTCTGATGATGATAAAGCTATTGTCTTCTGCTTCTTGGAACTCCAAGAGATAATTTTTGAGCTAATACAAAATACATAACCTGATGTACTCTTTCGATCATCTAATGATCTTGCCCAATCATTATCAGTGTAGCCTATGAGTTTACTGTTATTTTCTTTCACATACCTGATGCTGAGATTCTTGGTCCCTTGAAAATACCGAAGAATTCGCTTTGCTGCTGCATAATGTAGCTTGTTCAGCTCATGCATAATTCTGGAAATAAGATTTATAGAGTAAACAATGTCTGGCCTTATATTAGTGAGATAATTTAGTGAACCAACCAATTTTCAATAAGCGGTAACATCGACTTTCTCTACTCCATCATTTACTTGCAACTTCTCATTTAAAAAGATTGGAGTAGAAACTGACTTGCAGTTAGACATATGAAATTTCTTCAATAAATCTTCAATATATTTTCCTTGAGAGATAAATATTTCTCCCTTTGACTGCTTCACTTGAATACTGGGAAAATTTCTCATAAGTCCCAAATCAGTCATCTCGTACTCCTTCATCATGGCTCTTTTAAATTCTTTTACCATTGTTAGTTTAGTTCCTGTATAGATTAAATCATCAACATACATGCAAACTATAAGAAAGTCTTGTGTACCTCCTTTCTTGATGTATAGTGATGGTTCATTTTGGCTTCTTTGAAAATCATTTTGACAAAAATACTTGTCAATGTTGTTGTTCCAGGCTCGTGGTGCTTGCTTCAAACCATACAATGCCTTCCAAAGTCAGTAAACCTTGTCTTCTTTTCCTTTGATTATGTACCCTTGTAGTTGTTCAACATAAACTTCTTCTTCAAGCTCTCCATTGAGAAAAGTTGATTTGACATCTAGCTGATATACTGATAGCTCATTTTGTGCAACCAAGGCAAGAACGATTCTTATTGTCTCCATGCGAGCAACTGAAGCAAATGTTTCATTGAAGTCCACTCCAGGTTGTTGTGAGTAGCCTTTGCAACTAAACGAGCCTTATGCTTCTAGATGGAGCCATATTTTTATATTTGGTCTTGTAGAGCCATTTAAGTCCGATCACATCTTTGTCTTTGGGTAGGTCAACAAGATCCTAAGTGTAATTCTTTTAAGTAGTTTCAATTTCTTCTTCTATTACCTTTCCTCAAATTTCTTCTTTCATAGCTTCTTCAAAAATCTATGGCTCATAAGCAAAAAATGCTACAACACAAGTTTCATATATTTCTCTTATGGAACGTACCTTTCTTGGTGTTGTTTCAGATTCTTCAAATGAAGAGTTTCTTGAAGAGTCATTTCTTGGCCTTGGGCTTGGAGTGTTATGTGGATTTAGGTTTGGACTTTCTTGGAGAGTTGAAGATCCTTCTCTTTCTGTTGCTTTATTAAATTCAAATCCCTTCTGCTCTAAGATGGAGTTATCATCTCACTTCCATGCTGTCATTTCATCAAATACGACATCTCTAGATATTACCAATTCATTTTTCGTTGGATTAAACAGACGATATCCTTTTGATTCATCACTATATCCAATGAACATATATTTCTTCCATTTCTCATCAAATTTTTCTCTTTTTTGGGAAGGAATTAAGACATAAACAAGATAACTGAATACTTTGAAAAGATTTACCTGGGGCTTTTGTTTGTGCCATGCTTTATATGGTGTTTTGTTTTGGACAGCCTTCGTGGAAGATTTGTTTAGAATATAAACAGTAGTATTGGCAGCTTCAACTCAAATTTTGTTAGGAATACCTTTGCCTTTTAGCATGCTTCATGCCATCTCGACAATTGTCCAGTTCTTCCGTTCTGTAACTCCATTTTGTTAAGGAGAGTGTTGAACTGTGAGTTGTGTTTTAATCTCATTTTCTTTACAGTAATTCATGAATGGAGTATAAATGAATTCTCCGCCATGATCTGTCCTTAACATTTTTTTTTTCTTTGTCACTTTGCTTTTCCACCAAAGCTTTAAACTGCAGAAACACTAAGAAGGCTTCTGATTTTCTATCAAGAAAATAAATCCACATCATTCGAGTATAATCATCAACAAAGAGTAGAAAATATCTCTCATTACCAAGAGATGGTGTTCGGCAAGGCCCACAAATATCTGTACGCACAAACTTCAATGGTGCTTTGGCTCTCCAAGAAGTCTATGGAAATGGCAATCTATGCATTTTTCCGTAAATGCGTCATTCACAAATGTTATTGATTTTGCCAATGTGAGGCAATCCTATAACCATATCTTTTTCTTTTAATAATTTCATACCCTTGTAATTTAGATGTCCATAACTAAGATGCCATAGCTATGGATCATTGGTGTTTTCACTTTTAAGGGCAAAATTATCATTCAGTGGCATTACAAGAGGGAAAACTTTGTTTGAAGTCATTTTGACTTTTGCCACAGTATGATTTTTCTTTTTATCAGAGATTATGTATTCATCATTATTAAAATTTATTGCATAACCTTTTTGTACTAATTGCCCCACACTTAATAGATTTTGGGTTAGCCCCGAAACATAAAAAACAACATAAATTAATTTTGTGTTACCTCTCTTTGTATGGACGGAGATGACTCTCTTTCCGTCAACATTTTGTAGCTTTCCATCACCAAGCTTTACTTGGGAAAAGACTTTTTCATCTAGTTGCATAAAAATATTACAATTGCCTGTCATATGATTACTTCATCCACTATCCAAATACCAAATATTTTCTGACTCTTGTTGGGCATTCATGCAAGAAAATAATTGTTCTGTTTTATTTTCTTCAGAAAAATTAGCTTTGTCTGTGTCATTGTTAAACCAGCAATCACGTTGTGAATGATTTGAATTTTTACATTTTTTGCACCTAAATCTGCAATCTTTAGATACATGATTAAATTTCTTGCAAATAGCGCATTGAGAGTCAAAGTTACCGCTGGAATTTCTTTGATTGTTGTAGTCTTTTCCTTTATTCTGGGCTTGAAATAAACTTCGGGCTCCTCGTCATTGTGGACGTCCCCGAACGCCCCAGGAGGGAAATCCCCCCCGTTTTGTTCATTGGGCTCACTACAGTTTAGGACTCAATGTCACGGTCCTGTATCTAATCTCGCAGAGTGCAATGCAAGACCGATGAATCATCAAAGAGTCCAAATCCGGCAAATCGTTTTTGAAAACAGATTTTTTTTTAAAGAAGTTCCAAACATGGACTACTTTGCCAGATACAGAGTCGCCACCTAAATATTTTATTTTGGAAAATTTAGGAAACCCTGACTCGTTGCCTAAGGCCACGTGTCCGTCATCACCAAAGTTGCCTTGGCTTGGGAACTTGGATACGATTAGGGAAGGTCACTTCGTGAGCACCCCCGCTCGCCCGATCAAAGATTGGCCTCTACTAACCATGATATCTAGTTTTGAAAACGTTATGTGCTCTTATTCCGGTTATTAGCCTAGATTTACTATGTGATGCGCACAGCATACAAATATAGACTGGATCGCCTGAATTGGAACAACACATCTCATGTTTGTTTTGAAAATAGTTTGCTACTCGCAAGTAGGCTTAAAATGCAGATTTTGCCACCCTCGGGTGGGCTTAGAAAACAAGATGATTTGCCACTCTCAAATGGGCTTAAAACTCACAATTGATGAATTGTTCCAATCCAAATAACCCAACCTTCACCCACAGGCATTCAGGCAGGTATATCACGTAAGCACGTAGCCTCATGGTAAGCATGCTATCATGGCAGTCACTCACACACATGCAAGGATGCTAAAGCATAAACACTTACCGAGTACTCCAAGCCAAAACAGAGGCTATGTTAGAAATCCATGCATGATCCTAACTATACAGAAATGCCTAATGCAACACATACAAGAATGCAATTACAATAGGCTCGGCTATTCTAAAGATGGCATGTGATGATGCTACAACTAACACGTATTCAATTTGGAATTGAAATACAAATGCAGTTAGTATGATGCACCGAGCCCGGTGCATGCAAGACAGATGAATGATGCAAACATGCAAGCATAAGTATGCTAATTGAAACATGCCCTAATCTAACCATCATAAGCTGGTAAATAAAAGGGAGAAAGACGTGGGGTTGGAAGACATACATCACATGCACGCACACTTATTACAATTGTGCCCTCGCTCGGAGGGTCCGAATAAATAATACAGTTCGAATAATAATTACAGTCCGAATAAGTACAAAACACTAATTAATTAACAATTTAACTAGGGAAGCAAGTAAATTAGCATGCAAATCCATGGACCGCCTCAGCTCTGTTCCGAATGATGAAAAATGCATGCTCGAGTTGCTTTGCGCGAAAATCCATTGCGATGCCTCGATTCACCTCCATTTGCAATTAATGCCGGAATGCTGTGCAAGGATTTAGAAAGCTGCTGATTTATGATTTGTTGCAACAGAGAGCAAGAAAGGGACACAACAAAGTATTTTCACATATGTATGCATGACTACTCTTCAGGGAGTGTAGTCCTCGATCCTCGTGCCACCAATCACGCATCTCGATGCATGATGGCCGAGGAGTCGAATTGCACGACTCGATGTGAAATGAATGCACATATAAACATAACAAGACCTAAACTCCATCATGGGTAATCCGGAGTGTCGGCGACCGGGAATTGAGACACGTTTCGTCACTTTGAGTACGAAACGTCCCTCGTTTCCCTTGTTTGGGCTAACTCCTATCCCAAACACAATGCAATGAGATGGCATATACAATGTGACTAACATGCAACCTAGCATACGCAATGCAATGGGCTAAAATGGCATACACAATGCGCGATGGACTTACACCAATATGAGTGGACCTCAGCCGCACTCAAATCAGTGGCCATACGATGAAAATGAGACAACCGAAATACATGCAGATGTGCACGAATGCAAAGGACCTATCCTAAGGAATCAAATGCCACTCTACCAAAGTATGGAAAAGGATGCAATATGGCATACAAACACACAAATTTCAACTCTGAAACATGATATAAAATGGTCTCGAAACATGCAAACATGGCACACAACGCAAGCTAGGGGGCCCGGGTATTGAAACTAGTGAAGTGCGTTACTCTAGAGGTACCCAAAACAATGCACTAATGGAAAAAACAACCCCAAATAGACCCTAGGCAGGTCTGAAATAGTGGGGAAATGGCCTAAAATGATGGCTCGGAATGCAACGAAATGGAGCTTATTCAATGGTCCGAAAACAAGGCATACAAGCCCGACTCTCAAACGCATTTAAAGAGTACAAACATGGCAATATGGAATTAACATAGACTCTGAAATATGATGCAAAACGACCCCAAAGCATGAAAATACCTCAGCACATGCATGCAATGGACCTCAAACCTCAAAGTTAAGCATGGGTATTGAACTACAAGCATGCAAAACAAACATCATTCAAACATGAGACCTAAAAACAGAGCTAGGACAGTCCAAAATAAGCACATTATCAGTTTAAGACATGGCCAAAATGTGCTAAAATCAAGGTCTAACAAAGCAAGCAAAGAAAGCTAGTGAACCATGAGTTGTTCTACAACTATATGAAGCATATGAGGGCTCACCAAACCAGCCAAAA